GCATACAGAAACCATATTATTTAAATCACTGGTTGGTCCACCATTTAAGAGCATTGCTAGATACCTCTTATATCCTAAACTAACCCATCTACGTAAAGTTGCTCATCACCACCGAGCTTGTGACCTGCCATCAATGTTCTAGCTGGGGCTTGTGCCTTTCTCCTCTGGCAATTCCATGGCTTCTCACTGACTCTGCCTTTTTTCTCCCATCATTCAGTTTAGTTTCCCTGCCTAGCTCTACTCTGCCCTATCTATAGACCCAAAGAAGCTTCCTATAAACCAATGGTATTCACAGCAAGCAGAGGGAATCCCACATCTTTGTTAGAATGATAAAGTGTCTTATTACTTTTGTCGTGCTGATGAACTTTTATTTATGCAGAAAATTTCTAGAGGTTACTTGCCTCTTCTTCACCACCCTCCTCAGGTGGGCCTTCTGGTTTTTCTGGTTTAGGAGGGCGAGGTTTCTCCTCATCTCCCTCCGGGGGTGGGCCTTCTGGTTTTTCAGGTTTAGGAGGACGAGGTTTCTCCTCATCTCCCTCCTGGGGTGGGCCATGTGGTTTTCCAGGTTTAGGGGGGCGAGGATGATGTGGTGGTTTCTCTGGTGGTTCTTCTTCTCCATCGCCATCCTCCTCATCTCCAGCTTCTTCCCCTTCCTCATCTTTCTGATGCTGTTGACCTTTGCCCAGGCTTTTTTGCTCTTCCTCTGCAGGGACATAGATCCATGTTGAAGAAGCTTACTTTTCTCTTTATGTCAGAATACCCTTCCTAAATTTATGAGCCTGATTCTTTTTGAAATGTAATTTTTAAATATTTATCATAATAGCTTTCTTATGGCTCAACTCTTGAGACAAATATTTCTTCTTAAATTTGATCATTTAAGGTGATTTTATTTTTCTTACAATTCTCAGACAGAAGTGACAAAACTGAAAGGATTTTTTTAATGATATTAGTTAGAATTAGGCAATATAGCCTAATGTGACAGAGATGCTCTATTCTTAAATGTACCATGTTGTTTTTGTTCTATAACCAAGTGCAGAAGAAAAAGAAATATAGGAAAGAGACTAAAAAAAAGGTCCATTCAGTTTTCCTGCAGTGCTTTTGTGGATATAGAGCTGAGTGAGAAAAATAAAATTTAAAAAGATTAGAGAGTCTGAGATCTGTGAAATTACATATCTATCTAGTGTAGAATTCTATAATCCTGAGAGGGATCAATGGGAAAAAAATCTTTGACCAACCCATAGAGTCACAAAAGATTTTAAATGAGGACAATCAATATGCTCATCATATGCAAGCCATTGCTTCCATTTGTGGAAGAGACACAAATTTCCTGGTCTAAAAGCTGGCTTCCTACTCTTCCAATGTATTGTCATCTTCTAGGTCCTAGAGAAAATGCCAGGGAGCTTTCCTATATATCTCAGGGTAAGCTGTCACATGCTAACTTCAGAAAATAAAAAGTTATGAGATTTTATAAAACTGGATAATTACAAAAGTGAATCATGCTTAATTGGTTAATATAGGATGAATCTGTCCCTACCTAAGAGCTGAGCAGAAGAGTCTTCACTGATGATCTCTAGAAAATAAGCACAAGTGTAGTGAAAAGTTAGTTACAAGATTTTTCTCAGCTGGAAATACAAATGGCTTTCAATAACATATTCATTTCCACTAAGAAGTAATTTATTCTTGGACCATACTGCTGATACTGCTGACAGAATGGTTTCTTTGATCAGGAACAACCACTATTTTGTTTCTTAGTATCTCTGACAACCATTACTGTTAGTCTTCATTTTAATATGGGAATTTCATTCTGACAGGTTTATAATATTTATGTTTTTCATCATGACCTTCTTTTGTTATATGATATAGGTATTTCATACAGGAAGAAAAATGAATATTGTTCTAAATACTTTGTGAGAAACAATGAATATTTTATGTGGGTCATTAAAATAGGGAATGAATACCACAAAGATATCTCAGTGGGTAAAAGTTCTTGTCTGATGACTTGTATTCAGTTCCTGGAAACACATGGTAGAAATACAAATCTTGTTGACAATATTCTGTTCTCTGACTGGAATGTGAAAAAATATTCAGTCTCTCTTTCTCTCTGTCTCTCTCTCCCTGCCCCTCTCTCTCTCTCTCTCTGTCTCTCTCTCTCTGTCTCTCTCTCTCTCTGTCTCTCTCTGTCTCTCTCTCTGTCTCTCTCTCTCTCTCGTATCTGTGTGTTTGTCTCCTTTCTTATCTTTCACACATACAAGTACACATATACACAGACAATTCTGCATGCACACAATGCTCAAACATAATTCAAGAAATTATTCACTAATATTTCTACCTGAATGTATACAGTTTCAAATTTATTACTTTATTCATTCTCTCAAAAGCATCTGTGATATACCTTTAATTTTTTCAGTTTTCATTCTCCTCTATACAGCCAGGTTACCATTATTTAGTATTGGCTTCTCATAACTCCTTGAGAACTGAGTTTCTTTCTATCAATTGTATCATGATCCTATGCATCATGCCCCACCAAAAAGGTCTTTTCACAAATGCATTCATGTTATTTTGTTATAAAATAGTTTCTTAAATGTTACTATAAGTAACATTTAATATCCAGTGCAAAATGAAAATATAAACATTCCATTATGTTTTGCTAATCCTTTGCTTCAGTTTTTTATTTATCTTTTCACATTTCTCCCAGCCTTGTATTTCAGTGTTTTGCCCAACTCCCATTTCACAGAACCAATGTCTACCTTACTTCATACCTGCATTTGCTCTCTGAACTGAGCTCAGGGCCAACAAGGCTGCTGTAAGCAGGACCACCAGCATCTTGGAGGAGCCTCTGGAGTTGCTTCCAAGTCTGTGGTGGGAGAAGGAAGGCCAGAGTCTTTATAAGGAAGGTAGAACAAAGGCACTTTTCAGGTCCTTACTGGTGACCTGACCTGACACAGCAGGATACATTGCATCCCTGACTTTTGTTTGGGACATTAGCCTAGCAGGATGCATGGGGAGTAGGTTGTCAGTGTCTCAGTTCTCAATAATAAAATATGAATGTTGGACAAAAATGTTGATGTAACTCAGCCAACATCCAGATATTAGAAATAAAGTTCTGTGATTGTTTAAGCTTCAGGTCACCCTGACCCTGACCGTGTTATTTGTAATTGAAAGGGAATTTGCTTCTATCCACTCATGTATATTTTTGTCTCAATTCTTCCTGTCATTGAGGATAAAGATACATATTTTCCACATTTCAATTCAACCTCCATTTATGGTGTTACACCCATGTGTTCTAACAAGTATAATAAAAAGCTGACTTTTATTTTCAGTTCTACAGAGAGTTAGAATACCAAGCAGCGATGCATAGTAAGAGTCAAACAAGAGTGACAGCCTGTTTGGGCATAGAAAGGCTGTCCAGAATTCCCCAGATCTTCTTCAACTTAGAGTTTTGTTATCATAGACCTAGAAGATTTCATAGACTCTTCTTCATGTTTCTCTGTGTTATAGAAAGAAAAGTAGCAGTTGAGATTCCAAGTAACTTGAGGACCAGGTAATCACAAAGATAGTTTCACTAGTCCTCATGAGCATAGTTTTTTTTTTTTTTAGAAAAATTGGTTAGCAAATAACCTGGTTTGGTGTAATGCATATTAATCCCAACACTTTTGTTTTGAGGCAATTGAATCTCTGTTAGTCCTTGAGCAGCCATGTTTATAAATGAGTTCTGGGACTTTTAAGCCAGGCACATGAGGAAACTTCATCTCAAAAAAGAAAAGAAAGAACAAAATGCTTAGCTAATATTGTATTTAAATGGGTCTTCTAACCATACTATTTTGTTTTACTCTGTGATCCTATTTTTTTCTGTTGTGAGAGGTGCAAAAGTGCAAATATAATGAGCTGTCTTTTATGTCTGAAACAATACCAGTCATTCATAATTTTCAATTTTTTGTATGGGTTTAATAGTAATTTGAATAGTATGTGGATTATGTAAAGCACAAAGGGCTACATGGATGTTAATTTAGATGATACATCATTCACATGAAACTTTCCTGTGATTTGCATATCAATTAGCTTGATGCTCCATTTTGAAACATATGGAGATAGTCTCACAAAACATAAATCACTGAATAATTGCTATAGATGATGTAAAAATCTGTAATGAAAGCAGTGTGGTTTTTTACATAGTAAAGGGATAATAGATGTATTCTGAATAGGTAGTGTTTGATAATTTTCTTGGGTTCTATAAAACTCGAGACACACTCACAGAGCTCATGGCGTTGAAAGTTAAAGACAGGGAACAGTAGACTGTTGTGAATAACCTCCAATGTATATTGACAAGATAAATTTCTGGTGTCTGAAGATATAAGGTGGGCAGGATTTGGAGATGAGGTGTCCTGACCAGGGCTGCCTTTGCTGAACTTTTCTCTCATCAGAGGAGGATGAGGGGAGAATGTAGGTATACAAGCTCATGGGCGGGCAGCTGAGGGATTAGCTGTTCTGGCAGAACTCAGCTTTGTCTTTAGCTAGGTGGGTCCTAGAATAGAGAAGTTGATTTTGTCAAATATCACACAACTTGAACCTTTTTCTTGACCTTTTTCAGTGTTAGCAACTTGTGAAAGGGATCATTGTTTCAGGCTAGAAAAAGATCACCTAGAAACTCAGCAAAAATAATACAAACAGTATGTGGAATAGCTGATGAGGAATAGTCAGTCATTAATTTTTAAGGTGGGCTAAGAAATACACAATATGCAACAGGCTCATAAGAACTTGTAGTGGTTGAAACAGTTGAGGATTGGCTTTTCCATATTACTCAGCTGTGCCTGTTTGGTTACTATCGTTGAAAATTTAAATTCATCAAGTCTCAAATATACTTCCCTGTTCTATTTATTACATGAACTATTGATTTTTTCATAATTGAATTTGCATAACACTTATGTAATTGTTAAGTTTAGAATGAGGTGTGTGTATGGTGTGTGTGTGTCTATGTATGGAGGAAATTTAAAGAGCATTTGGATAAAATGAACTCATAGAGTTCGATGTGATTTTGCTTCTTAAGGCAGTGCTTGTATCCAGTGTGTACCATTGGTCCCATACAATAAAAGTGTGAGTTTGCATGCTAGTCCTCTGTGAACTAGTGTTGTGGATATTTTTTTAAATTATTTATTTATTTATTTTAATTTTTTTAAGTGTTGCGGATATTTTAAAGGGAGCCTTAAAGTTCCAGCTTTTAATACTTCCTCTCAGGGTTCAATTAAAGGTGTTACAATAAGCTAAAGGGTGTGAATCAAAAAAAAATCACAGGATTAAGAAGTCTACTCAGAAAAGCTTCCATCTATCCATGATTCTTTATGATTGTTCTTCCTCTTTATTCTTATTTCTATCAGTTTTCCCCATTGCAAGCATTCCCAGTCTTATATATCCTTAAAGCCAGCAATTCCCGTGCCCTAGCAGGTTCCAGGGCTAAAATTCTTATGCCCCATAATAAATTATATTACTGTTTTCTTTTCTTTTAATATAATTTTTTATTGAGAATAGAAAAAAAAGTTTCCGCCTCCTCCCAGCCTCCCATTTCCCTCCCCC